TGTTTACATGAAAAAGAAACATCTCTCAAGCCTCATTCACAGCGCTACAATCATAAAGCACTCCTAAAGGAACTGCCGCTTCCGAATGATTATAGCCCAAGTTCAACGCCATAATCTGTCCCACGGCGACCCCATAGTAAGTAGCAAAGTCTTGCAGGGTGCCATAGCCCAGAGTAAACTGTGTCATGGTACATGCAGTGTTGTCACAGATGGGAATCTTCACTGTCTCGCCTGTCTGAAGGATATCATAAGGGCCAGGGTTCAAGGCGGCAATATACCCAGTTTGAGCGGTCTGGTTTAGAACGGACTCGACCGTGATGTTAAATCGTTCGTTGGCAATCTTCTGAATGGTATCTCCAGGCATGATTGTATACACGTGTGGACCACTATCGATACAGGTGTTCGTGGCCTCGGTGTTGTTGGTGCTGAAGCAACTCATATCATCTGGGAAGGTCGGTTGAGCAGGGATGCGAAGCACCTCGCCAGCATAGATGAAGTTGGGATCAGCAAGGATATTCAACCTGGCGAGATCACAGGTTCCCACGCCGTATTTGGCGGCAATGGCCGACAAAGTGTCGTTCTCTTGAACAGTATAGGTCTCGTTCAAGGCGGTAATATCTAGGTTTATCACAGTCCCCGTGGTTGGGAGGGCTGTAGGTAGTGTGAAGAGTTAGTGTAGAAATTGAACTGAGACAGAAAAGATAACGGACCATCATAAGTGGATGCTGGGAGAGCGGCAGCGACTGCTGTCAGGCTGAGAAGTGTGGCGGCGAGCATAGTTATGAACTTTAGCGCTCTAACTTTTTCTTAGATGAAATGGGTTGGCATACAGCTCTGACTCCCTCTGGTGCAGTAGAGTCGCCCTTTATATAAGCCAAAAAACCAAGTCAGAAAATTTTCGAAATCAACCCACCGCGAGGCCAAAGACATCACTATCCAGTTTTGGTGTCCATGACCGACTCGAGATAGCCGTGCTCCGTGAAACCTTGGTCATTGGGCACCTTTCTCGCTTTTTCTTACTCGGACTAGCATAGCTTCAACACTAAATGCAAGCAGACTGAAGCCATAGCATGGACTTTCGAGAGTCGTGCCATTCCCACATACCCCAGAGCATGGATGTCATGCGGGGACTTCCCCACAATGACCGGAGGAACTATCGGACAAATGGAAATTCGCCAGCCCCATCCGGAGCATGGATGAGTGTGGCCTAGTGTAGATAGTGTAGTGGTGTTACTGTTTATGCGACTGGATGTTTCGGGGGTCGGAGGCAATTGTAACATCCGATCTCCGTCGGCTTTGGGTTAAGGCTTGTCCTTGACTGGGCTTAGCCAAGCAAGGTCCTTTCATGAGAGCGAAGCTAATAGTGCGTCTGATGTCACACATGCAAGAGACATCCAAGAACTTCATCAAGGCAGCCTCATGACTGAGTCAGTAGTTGTAATTTGATAGAAAATAGGTTATATGTGCTGAAATTGAAGAAGAGAATAGGCAACACGGTCAGATCTTTCACAGTTCTTATAATACAGATTGTATCGAAGTGATTTGGAATGGATAACATGCGTTTCCTCAATCGCCGTTCCATACGAAGTTGGATCCGGTCCTAGAAAACCCCAGAACACGCACATGTCATCCTTGGCTACCTCTTCGTTTGGCTCCCTAATATATAGGCGTAAGGTAAGCGCTCAACTTCCAGAGCATGGCCTGGATAGAAGTTGCGTTCTGTTCGCAGATCATGGTGTTGTTGTCAGTCCAGTATGGGCGCGACGGCCAAGTGCAAAGCTCTTGGACCTCGCCCGCATGCTCTCCAGAAGTAACGGTGGCATTGATTGTCGTGGGCACCACACCTTCTTCCACCCACTTGACCATGTGGGCAAAATTGTCCCGAGGGAAGCCAGCATTGGGTTGCTCATCGTTGGTCGCGCAGTGGGCTGCACCAGGGACGAGATAGAACCGATACCAGTCGTTGAGTTTCTCATTACCATCAGCAAAAGAGAGGTCAGGGTACATGATCTTGCGAACCGATTCGTGGTAGTGAATAGATCCGGTCGGGGGCACACTGCTATCGGCCTCCCCGTGGTAGTGAAGCAGACGGCCTCCCTTGGAGTGAAAGGGGGTCAGGTCAGGAAGCGTGGTCTGAAGAGAGTCCATGTATTTGGTCATTCCTTCGATCATCCATGCCTTTAGGTCATCGTTGGTGACTCCCCACATGTCCATTTCTGTGACATTCTGCCAGTTTAGGAACTTGGTAATCCATTCTCCGTTGGAGTTAGGAGAAGTGATCGTCCAAGAATCCGTGGTGCTGTCGTAGACAGTAGTGTCTCCAAAGCCGGCAGTAGGCTGAAAAGGAAAGTATACGAGGTCACCGTTCGAATCTTTCTGTTGTTTGGAAACCAGGTCAGCAGTCTGAAGGCAAAGGAGCGCAGGTGTTGGGAAATGGTTCATACCAGTCCAGTCAGAAGATCCTCGATCACCTCGATATCTTTGGCGTTGATAGTTCCATTCTGCGCGGGAGTGGCTGAGGTCGTCTGTCTCTTGCTCCTCTTTCCGTATCCCAAGCCAAGGCTGCTGGTCGAACCAGCCTCGCAGTAGTAAGATTTACCCAGCATTGAGGAGACGTTGAAATTCTGGAAACAGAGATCGCTACGAGCAACCACCCCATCAACCTTGCCATCCATGCCATCACAGGCATTAATCGTTGCGTTAATCACCGTATCGAACACGCAAGAAGGCGGATAATATCCAATGGTCTGAATCTGGATGGGAGGAGCGATGTGGTTCACCTGCTGCTGGCCGTATCGCATAGCAGGGGCACCCGCAACGATGCCATCGTATAATTCGGGGGCACGCTGGGCTTGACTCATGGCCTCCCGTCCACCTTCAGAGCAACCGATGAAGTAGGTGTACAACTTGGTAGCGTTACTCCCAACGTTGAAGAAGTTGTTGGTAAAAGCCTTTCCAATCTGGGTCATCTCGGCGATGGCCTGATATCCCCAGTTATAGATGGCAGGCCAATTGGCAGTTCCATTTCCGAGAATGACAACATCATCGAAGTCAGTGCCACCCCAGTAAGGGAATCCACCGTCCGTGTAGCCAGTGGCGGCCCCAAAGGCGACCCCTCCAGCGACATCACCCCCTCCTGAGCCGTTGTTGATCTCATACGCGGAACCACCTGTAGCGAGAAATCTGTTCTGGAATGTGTCTGGGCTCGGCATCCAATACTGGACAACTACGCGGTCGTCACCGTTCTGGTGGCTGTAGGCAAAAGATACCTCGCAGAAGTTGATGGTCAAGTCCTCCCAGAAAATAGAATCGGTGAGGGAATAGTTGCGATAGATACTGGCAGATACAGAGCTGGTATCGATGGTAATTCCAGATGGAATGTCATCGCTCGCAGTGGGCAGAACGGACGTGACATAGTCGGACGTACACACACTGTTCAGCGATGCTGCAGATGCGACACCGACAAGTATGGCAGCAGCCAGGCTGTACATTGCAAATGAAGAGAAGGGACGGGTCTTTGACCCTAGAAAGAGCGATAGGATATAGAACAAAAGAAATTGAATGGTTGCAATTGTGGAAACAGAGTAGACAGAACTGAGATTGACGACATTATTATACCATTGGATCCTACAGTGGTGGCTCACTTGCATCGAATCTTTGAACCACTTACTCTTTAGCACAACCAAGACACTTACGTATGTTTCTAGATACTAATTTGACGGCCTGCAACATGGGATGTTGATCATTTAGTAGCGTGTCTGGAATAGAAGATTGAGAGTCTCCGTGCCTGCGCAAATTCCCGAGAATCTTATCTTATCAATGAGCTTAAATGCGAGATCTTGGAGAATCGAAACACTTGACCACCTGTGAGTGGCTGATCAAGCCCCCAAGCGCCGAGATTTCGGGTCAAACAACATCGGTCTTCGGTCATTGCCAGTCGGAGATTCGGCTTCACTTGCCTCAATAGGTCGATTTTGCGAGCATCAGGTAGGAGACCCATTCCGCAGGCCGCGGCAGCTCGGCTCTATGCGATGTAACTAACGTACGCATAGGGCACTGGTAAGGTTATGGGGTGAAGAAGTTTAATTATTAGTCTGATTTGCCATTGGGGGACTTGTTAGCTAGATATGGCCACCAGCCCACAACAGACACAACCTTGAATCCGTCGTGGCAAGGTAGGAAAGAAGGCCTACCGAAAATAAGTAGGAGGTTATAGAAAAATGAGAAATTACTTTTAACTGCAATTGCCTCTCAATCTTCATAAGTGCAAACACAAAGCGAGACCAATGTATCTCTTTCCAGTACTGCCATCTTTGGGGACAACAGCAGCATCCTGATATTAACCACCTGCTCGTACAGTTCAATTTCCACACCAGCTGGTAAAACGCAATCGCCGTGTGGGTAAGCGAGAGCCTCATTATTAGGGCACTGGACAAACCCTTTGGTGCCCATGTTCGGGGAGTGTGAGTCTCACTGTGCAGGAGTTCATGTTGGTGACCTTGGGGAGACTTTGATGTAGCGATAGATGGGAAATTGGTGAAGGTGTATGAGAGATATATGGGAGAAAATGATCCTGAGGAAAGACGGGTTTCAAGAAGCAAGTTATACCACTGAGCATACAGAAGGATATGAAGCCGTGTCCTGACTACTAACGAAGTATAGCACTCGGCTGGATTGGTAGGGTCTTAGTTCACATCTACATAATAGCATAGAGCAGGTGTGATTAGCCTTCCGGATGATTTTGCAGCTACCTATTGACTTCGAAGTCGGCAGTCTGAGTTCTAGACAAGCCCTACCATGTGATCCAAAGGCTGACGATTCACTGCTGCTTTGGTATGCCATTCACTCAGATGTGTATATTTTGTCGGTCGTCGGTAAACTGCCTCTTCAACAACAATAGCATTCTATTACAGACCAGCATGGTATGTAGGAAAAAACAGCACCCCAAGCAGAGTTGAAGCTTCTTCATTCAAAAAGCCCAGGAGGCACACACCGTCAAGATGGAGTTGGCATCATCAAATCATCTTACAGGCGCCGATATAATAAGTCCACTCCTGGATATGATTTGCAACACTCTGCATCTCGATCCTCTCATCGTGGTGAACTTGGGACTCCTTGTAATTGGCATCATAACTTCCCTCCACTCGACTGGAAATATCGTCTACAGCTACGCCGCAAAGACATGTCTGTCAACCGTTCACGTAAAAGTCGATGATCCTCTCTATCACGACATCATCCGCTGGATGGCAGACCATGTATTCCAGCATCGCAATTTCCTCTCCGTTCTAGCGCACACCGCAAACAATTCCGACGCAAGAAGAATCACAAGGCTTTCACGAATGCAGGAAATCATTCACACTAATGAAATGTTCTCTCCCGGCAAAGAGGATGCCAGAGGATCGTCAATCGAACTGAAGCCATTCCATGGGTCTCGACTTTTTCGCTTCAACCAGACATGGATTTACTTCCATCATAGATCCAACAGCCTCAGTTACTCCAACCCCCTGATGGACAGGGAAGACAATACCCACTTGACCCTACAATGTCTCAGTCTATCCCTCTCACCACTCAAGGCCTTCCTCGAAGAAGTCCGTGCCTATTCTTGCAAGGTCTCCGAATCCACCATCTTAATTTACCGCACCCAACCCTTCTATCGGGATATCCGCTGGATGCCCATCGCGACTCGCCCACTCCAAGATATCTCCACCATCATCCTGAACGAGAGCAAGAAAAAAAGGATCCTCCAGGATATATCCGAATACCTACACCCCAAAACCAGACAATGGTACGCCAATCACGGTATCCCTTATCGACGCGGATACTTCTTTTCCGGACCTCCAGGCACAGGTAAGACTAGCCTTGCGTCCGCCCTCGCCGGAGTCTTCGGTCTAGACATCTACGTCCTAAGCTTGCGAGATCCAACGATGGAGGAGCCAGATTTTATCCGCATGTTTTCGGCTGTCCCGAGGCAGTGTGTCGTGTTGTTGGAAGGTGTTGACGCCGCAGGGCTGAACAGAAATGAACCCATGGTCCCTACTACCACCAACACAAGTAATAGCACCTACCCAGATGATATTCCAAAGACACCAGGACAAGTGAGAGCACCAGAACCAATTCCATATACAGCAAACTCATCCGCAATCTCCCTATCTGGTTTACTCAACGCAATTGACAGCGTCTCTTCCCACGAGGGCCGCATCCTGATCATGACAACCATCATGCCGCAGGAGCTAGACCGCGCATTGATACGCCCGGGACGCGTGGACTTGCATATTCGATTTGAGCTTCCGTCTCGTGAGGAGCTGAAGAACTTCTTCTAAAGTCTATACAGCTGTGACGATGAGGGTGATCAGGAAAAGCAAGCGTTCGAGAATGAGAAAGAGAAACTGGAAGCCCTTGCGGAGCAGTTTTCGGAAAACCTTCCTGAGGCTCGGTTCAGTATTGCTGATGTTCAGGGGTTTCTGTTGCAGTATAAACGGGAGCCTAAAAAAGCGTGTGAGAATGTTGCTGGTTGGGTGGAGGAGGAACTGGGTGTTGAGGATGAACGAACTACTAATACTGAGTAGGTCTGTGATAAATAGAAGAGGGGGAGGATTTTCAATCGAGAATACATTGCAGTCAATCCTGATGTGGTTGTTGAAGGGGAAAAATCGGTCTTTTAAAGGATACAAAAATTGGTTTTTACTTGGCGTTTTTGTATTTCAAGGATCGCCCTGTGCTCGAGGAATAATAAACCTCGTATCACTATTAAATAGTTGATTGTAGCTGAGCATAATAAGAATACAACTTGAGGAATTCTAAGGACAAAGTAGCATATCTTCCTCAAACAAATGTAAAGTTCGCGCACAATTATGTCTTAGGACTTCGTTTTTCGGCATATTAATAACAAAACAAGGATGACTGCCTCGCAACTTGTACCAGTACAGTATTGACATCGACCTAAGTTGAACTCCTCAGTATCCGGTCGTCGTATCCTTCATCTGACCCTACTCTAATCTTAGCAATCCACAGCATGTACCGGGTAAACGCTGGGTTCAGCGCTCAGCCGCAAATGTCCACGCCAAGTGCCTCCATGACTGAACTGACAGCATCCCACAGTGGTACCACTGTTGTGCAGAGTAGTCACACATTTCTCGACAGCGGCCAGGATGGTCTTTTTCTCTGCGGTCGTATCGCAGTTGGACCCCGTCGTCGTCGCCTTGTACGCATAGCCCAGCACCTTCTCCCCGCTGACATCTGTACCGTAGGTCAAGGTGCACGAGTCCGCGTCCGACTTCGACTTGATGAGACCCGCCAAGAACTCCCAGATTTCAAGCCCGGCCTTGACTGTAAAGATCACATGGGAGGAGACTTTCGCGGTAGTCACAATTTTCTGGATCGTGATGCCCGTTCTTTTCTCCAAGTCTGTCGTGTCGGATGTGACATTCGCCCATTGCCAGGCGTAGTCGGCGTTGATGACCTTCAATGTCGCAGTCATGTTGCCAAGGCCATCGTCCCAGTCTGCAACGATTGGTGTGGTGATCACATCATATGTTGTTTCATTGTCTCCAGCAATACATGGATCAATAAACCCGCATGCGAGAACGCCACACAGGACCTTGCTGAACTTGACCATTCTCCGTCGGTGTAGCGGTGATATAGAGCACAGAGGTCAATGATGATGAGACAAGTAAGTTGCAGGAGGTTCATGCACACTAAAGAGCGTTTCTTGATCAGTACTTAGTCATAGGGTTAGGGCACATTGGAAGTGACGCTTCCATACCTGGTGATGGGTGCTGAAAAGAACGAGGCAAGGACAGTGAGAGATTTGAGCGATGAGTTGATGAAAGATACAGGAAGGCTCAGGGACTTGGGCCCTTTATATACCTTTGCAGCCTGGAGGAGACCAGTCCTGCCAATACTCGCTTGAAAGTTTCTAATCTTCAGAGGTGTATATCAGAAGGCTCTTCAGATGGTTTGTTCACGCTAGCGAAGCAAAGGATCAGCTAGCTAGCTTAATTTGTATAGCAGGATCTGACGAGAGGATTCCTGCTGTCAGCTTTACCAGCGAGAAAAGATAAGAGGAGAGCATTCTCCACCTCATTAAAGGCCGTGTTAATCGATTTTGCTGCATATCTTCTACATTCTACTCACGTTAGCTATGTGAGTTGGGCCTAAGGGCAATCAATCATGATATTGCATATTAAGATGTTACTGTAGATCATACAGCCTATGAATGCCGCAGGAGAAAGAAAAAGGAACTGACCTGAGTAGACAAATCTGAAGCGATACACAAGTCCCAGTTTGGAGGACCGACAATTGGAAGGTACGGCCCTGATTACCGATCCGGAAAGAGCTCATATCTCCCTTCTGCCTAAAGATACAGTATCTAGTCCCAAAGCATGATGATGGCCGGTGAACATGTGCTAGTTTCTGTCTGGTGACGCGGCTTTATGAGTCTAAAAAGGATAAGCTTCTGGTCTGGATGGATAGACGGAGAAATTCCGGGATAATGGAACAGCCTCAATGGCTACTAGCAGTAGGGCAAGAGTCAGTCCCTAAGGTCAAAGTGGATTAGTTCAATTTGTATAAGCCTCCTTCCTTCATGAATCCCCGCTTTTTGGCCCCCACGTGGCTACTTACTCGCATGCTTGAGGAAATACGTAACATGTGAAAGTCAATTCATCTGGGTTATCGACTGGATGACATGCCATGTGCACTTGAGCCTGTTGTTAGCGCTGACATGGAACTATCGCACTTCGCAAAATATTGCTGTCACCTGATGTGGGTTGCAATCAAGTTAGTAGCTCCCTAGAATGATACAGTGAAAGATATGAGGAAATCGATGGTCAGTATTCCAGGACTAGTTGACGGTGATTTGCAAATAGGCTCTAAGCAGAATTGAGGGCAAAGAAACCAAGCTGTCACGGAACTCGTCATCAATAGTGTACAATTTCAATAATGATCAGGTGCTATGCTTTGACTATACTACTATACATTCAGATCTCTTTATACATATATACATACTCGCCCAACTTGAACATCACACCCCGTCTGGGGTACATCCTAGAAATACACTTTCAACTCAACGAGTCTCACCCTCGCCTAGAGGGGTTTGTCCCTCGTTTTGGGGCTCATATATGTCCTGTTCTTCGGCATCAGAAACATCTTCTCCTTCTTCTGCCTCCTCTGCCACCCATTCTTCTTCCTCTCCTTCATTTTCTCCTTCTTCTTCGGCCTCCATGTCCTCCTCCAGATCGTCGAACTCATCTTCATCATCTTCCACGAGACTTTCATCGTCCATCAATTCCTCCTTCGTTCCGAGTTCTTTGTCTCTTTCCTCGAGCAGCGTCTCGGCCTCCATGTCATATTCATCGGGGTAGTCGAGGGTATTTCTGAACGGCGAGGGCGCAACATCGGAATCTTGCTCATCATCGTCCAACTCGGAGATACCAACATTGATTGGAGGCTCATCAGTTGGCTCAGAAGTGGTATCTTGTGCTTCGACTCGAATATTGCTACTGTCTTGTCCCGCCTTTTCAGCAGTCGGTTCATTCCGTGACTTAGACCTAGTCAGGCCGCCCACACCAAGAATACCGCCTGTCCACACATAACGATCACGTCCAAGTTCATCAACCATCTCGCCTTTCTCCTGCCGACGCCGGAGGAGCACACCCTGGAACTTCTCACGGAGGTAAGGAAGTCTAGCAACTGCTGCGATCGTCTTAGGCGCCGCATCGTATATAGCTTGAAGATCCGTGCCTCCCTCGTGAATGCTCCGTTCGCGAAGTCGCCTCAATGCAGCAGCCAGATATACCATGGACACGTACGTGGGCTGCATGAAGTCCGGCTGGATCTTGCTCCAGTAGCGCCGGCCCAATCTGCCCAGTACATTAGGTGGCTTTGCCCGTTTAGGATTCTCCATCGCATCAATGGTTGAAGGCACCCCCGGAGGTCGTGCACCATATCCTCGACGAAGATTATCCCACCCAGGGAAGTTGGGCATGAACTTATGTTCAAAGACAGTAAAAGCTTCAATCTGATCAGACAACCTGTCGGAGGACGCAAGCATCTGCACAAAAGTGGACCAATTGAAGGTTGTCATGGAGAAGCCTGCCTCCACATACTTTGCTATGACCTCGGAGATCTTCGAAACCTCGTTTCCATAAGCCAAAGAACGCAGATACAGTGAAAGAGGGCGAGATAGCATGAAGCGGTACGCTGGTAGAATCGGGTCCTTCTTTGTCGTAGCTGACTCGGATGGTCTAGCTTGGGAGTCGTCGGGATTCACCAAGAGCTCGGCATGAGATGGTAAGGGCGGTGTACCTGGGTTGAGTTGACGACTAAGCCACTCATCAATCTCAGGAGAAGTGGGACTGGCTATCTTCAATGCACGAGTGAAAGCCAGGTTCCAGCATTCTTCCACCTGTTGGTACTGTTCAGCCTTCAGATGCGCGAGCATCAAAGCAGACAGCAAACGAAGAGGCGCGATGTCATGGTAATTCTCTTCATCAGAGTCTTTGGGTGGATGACTAGCGGTATAGTCATCGAAAAGCCTCCGAGCCGACAGATAAGCCCCCTTCATACCATAGGCAGAGATCATATATTCGTAATAAACAGCAGGGAATCCCTTCCTGGCAGACATCCTACCAGAACCCAGCAAGGGGTACTTCGTCGCCAACTTGGTAGAGTGGTAATCTGCAAGAGTCTCTGCGAGGAATTTCTCGGAGTTTTCGAGACGAATATTTGCGTGGTTGCCGACCTGACCGCCCTGTGCCAAAAGTTGCAAATCTCGCTGGATCTGACTCTTGAGCACAAGGAGTCTCGAGCCAAGTCCCGGTTGATTGAATCTGTCTTTGATTTCGCGGAAAATGATGTGCACCATGTCCCGATTGCGGTCCTTCAGGTAGCCATACAGGATGACTGCGTAGTGAAATTCAGTGGCGTAAACGCGGCGACCTCGGTGGAGTGCCCTCAGGATGCGACGGGCAGAATCCGTCTGGCCTATAAGCACAAGACTGAGCATGAGAGCAGAATAGGTCATATCATCGGGCTCCAGTCCTGATGCATCCATCCGCGAGCGTATCCTTGATATAGCTTCCAGATCCATCCGGAAAGCATAATTCCATAGCAAGATATTCCACATTCTTACGCGAGAACCCTTGACGTCGAGGCCGAGGCAAGTCTCCGCAACGTGCTCAGCCATCTCCCACTCTGAGTTGTTGCAATAAGCCTCCACAACTGTATCAATCATGGGGGCTGTTATCTGCACGTTATGTTGTTGGGCTAGGCTGAGCAGATCACGGACATGAGTAACATCGCCCCGGTTAGCACAAAGACCCATCATTATACCAAAAGTGTGCGAGGTGGGCTCAACACCCTCTTCCATCATCTTCTTGAACATGGCGAAGGTCCCTGAGAGATCTCCCGCTTTGGAATAAGCTGTAAGCAGGATGTTCCAACATATGTCATTCGGTTGAAGGTTAAACTCTTCCGAAATTCTTCGGAACTGACGCGTGGTCTGTTCAACATCGCCAATTCTGGCGTAGACATAGAGAAGTGGAGCCACGATTTTGCGGCTTCGTGGCTTTCCGTGGTCCGAAAGGAACCTCTCGAATACATGCTGGACATTCTCCACATCACCGGCTCTCGAAAAAACAATAAGCGCCTGCCTGTAGACGTCCTCTGTCGGTTTGCGATGGAAGTGAGAAATCTCATCGAGAAAGTATAAGATACCGGTCGTGATCTCGAAAGAAGCGAGACGCTTCAACAGCTTAGCCAGAAGCTTTCGGGGTGGAGTCTCTTCCTCCATCTGCCAACGGAAATTCCGATAAACCACGATAGATCGAACAAACGTCGATCGGTGCTCTGATTCTTGAAGGGTGTTGATAAGATCAAGATAATTCCGCGAAGTGATCAAGTCCAGATGGTTGAACTTTTGCAGTAGTGCTAGAAGGGTCTCCGTCGCAGTAGCTTCGGCAAACTCCGTGCTAGAAAATACATTATTGAGTATGAAGCGAGCAGCAAGACGTACTGGACTGTTGAGACTCTGGTCTTGTAAGTAATCAGCAAGTGCTAACAACGGCTTATGCACGGAAGACACCTGTAGCCAAGGGGCGACAGTGTGCCACAGCGACTTGTCGCCCAACGGCCTCGATCTCCAAATATCCTGCACATAATCCCATTGTTCAGAGTTCACAAACTGTGCAAAACAGTATGCCCAACATAAGACGCCGCGGCTGTATGAGATTGCTTCCTGACATATCCCATCCACATCCGAAAGATTCCCCGTAGCAATACAGGACTTGGTCATGTGCAAATAATCATCAGAAGTTCGGGACTCGATAGGCAGGGAGTTGAGAAGTCGCCTGGCTCTTCTGTTATCAACGTCACGATCAGAGCTGCCTAGCCTCGCCAGCAATGCAGAAGTCAGGTCGAGAGGGTGACCAGCCTTTGAGAAAAGGCTCCATAATTTATCGGAATCTTCGATCTCCTCCTTATCCAATAACGCTCTAAGTTCGGTCTTGGCAGTGTCGCGGTCCTCATCGGCAATTATTTCAGCAGAGTCGTCAAGCATGTGAGCCTCAGCGTCCACCCTGCGGTCTAGGCTAACAGCCTCTGACGAGTAATTCCTGGAAACGCCAGGGACGGCCTTCCTTCTCCGTCGCGGGACAATCCTTCTTGGCGAACGTATCAAGCATGTCGCTATAAACTCCTGTGTGCGAGGGGGGTAGAGAAACTCGAGAACGGGGGCCCGCGGGTCCGTGGCTGTCCTTCCGGTTGTCGAGGTGGCGGTTGAAGTATTCGACGCGGATCTTTGCGGTGCCTGCAGGAAAACCAAAAGCTCCGCCCCCGCGCTACTGAATTGCCCAAGAGTTGAATAGATCGAACCCCGACCTCGAATGGCGCCATTGGGATCCCGGAAGAAACGCCGTCCCGCGTTCTCAAGACATCCGGCAGCCCGTTCCAGCATTACCTCGAGAAATTGCGGTGCCAAACCCTGAATTTCACCGAAACTTGACTGCGATGCATAACATATCGGGATCAAACTGTATTCGATGCCAATTGAGGTCAGCGAGCTGGGCATGCAGGAATGTGCAGAGTGCTAAGGGAGTCAGGCCATACCACGCAAAGCAATCTTGTGCACGAAGCTCACAGCCTGCCGTTAGATGGCTGCTCCTCCTGGAGAGATTTAAGAAAGGATCCGGCTTCAGAGAAGACAGAACCGACAGCTCCAAGCAAGAAAGCCAAGGGGTGTGGGTTGATGGCCGGGAGGTTGACGTGGGATAATTTTCGAGATGGCCGAGCAGCAAGCTTTCCCGATGCTGGAAAAGAGAATCCCGCGAAATCAGCCGGGGATTTGTTTGGCCGAGTCCTGACCACCTCAGCCCGCACTCATTCGGGTGGGAACACCACCATCGCCCCGAGCTCCCCCAGTCGTCGAATATTGCTGGCAAAATGGAGATCACCGATTTTATTTTCTCCCAGAGGGAGGAGAGTCTCTTGACGGGAAACTACAACGCTTATCGAGCGCACACGACCCGCAAGTTGCACAGCGCCCGCCAGCGACTTGGACAGACAACCCCCAAACGCAGCAAGTACATTGCCAAACGACCTGTGACGGCGGAAGATGTGAACAGTAATGTGGAGTATGTTCCTAAAGTCGTGTTTGACATCTTTCTACGAACAACGCTATGGCTGAGTCCGCTATAAGAATTATACTAACACTCCGAGTATCTTAGATATGTCCACACCCTACTCATCAGCGCCGAACGGGCATGGGCGAACGCAATGCACATGAAGACCACTCACTCGGCAGACCCTTCGGCCAAGGGAATTAGCGGTACGACCAGGGGTCACATTATTTCAAAACTCCGGAAGGCGGTTACATATGCGAAGCAATTGGTGCTCGTTCTCGAGGATCAGGAAACTTCTGGGGCTACGGACACTGATGTCCTCGAAGCTCGTGCATACCTGGCATCCCTCTTGGGGGCATTCTTCTTGGAGAAGCGCAATTGGGAGCAGTGTCTTCAAAACTACTCCGTATCCAGAGTCGTCTATGCAGCTCTGGGTCAGCAAGTCAAGAAGGACGCCTTCCGAGACCTTCTTTCCGGCACTGTCGACCCCAGTATAAGATACGCAGCATATCAACTGAAGCTTCCGCGGTCAAAGCCCATCCCGTCTTTGGCTCTTAGCTATTTCCCATCGGACGCGACCATCAGGTCCGAGGTTGAGAAGTTGGACCCCAACTGTCTGAAGGAGGATGCAGCGGGCACACGGAGGACCGCTGACGGGGAGGTGCAGCAACTCCCTGGAAGCATCACATGGAGATCGCATACAGTTGGTTTGGAAGATGCCGCAATCTCACAGGCTCTCGCTTCCGCAGCGGCAGCTGAATCTCGTCTTAGTACGTGGCTTGCGGAAGACGAGGGTAAAATTGCCTCTTCGAAAGATAAAGCCGCTGCATACGATAACGTTATCATCGCCAGTCAAGATGCCGTCGATGCTACAAAGACTGCAATCGATGATCTCGCCGGAGAGGGAGTTGACCCGAGTGATAAGAGGATGCAGGCTCTGCAAATAACGCGGACTGCTGTTAACTATGATTTGGTTGGGTGGAGAATCGGACGTAACCGTGTTCTTTGCGGAGACAACGACGGCGTTTCTTTCGAATTTGTCCCGACCAAGCTACCCAAGGGTGCCAAGGCTTCTGACGATGCCACCGGTAAGAAGCTGGCACGGCTGCGCGAAAGAGTCGTCCTGTACGATTCTACCCTTCAAAGTATCGAATTCATTCTTGAGCTTCCTGGAGTTGCAGCGGACACGGCGTTTGTCCGGGAGTTAGATGCCAAGCGGCGGTATTTCCGTGCTCTAAGGTACAGCAGCGCAGCCCTTCAGTGCCAACATAACATGCTAACTGGAGACTTCTTAGATGTCTGACCATTGGAAGATCACACGGAATCCTGGGCAAGTCCACCAATGCCCTCGCCCTGTTTGCGCAGGCTTTGGCCCTTGTCACGGAGACCGCACGGTCGCCGCAATCCTTGACTGAAACGGAGGGGCCACCAAAGCTGGATATCTCCCGTAGCCAGGTCCAGACTTTGGAATCCACCTTGAAGGGTCTTGTTGCGCAATACCGCGGTTTGGTGACTCTGGAGAAGATGTCCGCTGAAGCACAGTCGAACTCCGTGGCTCAGCGCCCCGCAATTGAGCGTCTACACGATTACGCCGGTGATGCTCTGGATCTGACCAACATTGTTCCTTATCCCCCTCAGATGCAACCGATCCCAGTGAAACCTTTGTTCCTCGATGTGGCTTGGAACTACATCGACTACCCTCGCCAAGGCGCGCCTGCTGCAGACAGGGCCCAGGCTCAACCGGAACCGCAACCGGAAGAGAAGAAGGGTGGACGACGCGGCTGGTTCGGCTTTGGTCGGTAGCCTGCTGATTTTTCAGGCTGCGAAAGGGTATTTAACTCTCCACCGGCTCCATTGCCATGATATAGTGTGTAATGTGCTATTGCATGTCAGCACCCACCAGGTGTATCTAGCGTACATAGTAAATCTGATGATGATGATACTGCGACCAACGAATTTGACAGAATAAGTTTTGACTACATATTTCAGATAACCTATTACTATTCTATCCAATTTTGTGCTGATTTCAATCTCAAAGATATACATAAGAGTGTGTAGCTGTGCCTTTATCTCAGTACTTTGTGCTGGCAGCGGCGCACTGAGGGACACTTTTTTCTGCCACCGCCTAAGCTTCCAGTTTTCTCAGTCAATCTCTACGGTCTGTATATTCTTAAATCCGCTTAAATCCGGGATTTTACCAGCGAGGTTCGCTAGGTTCTGCCGCTTAAAGCGGTCTACAAGGCGGTGGGCTGCGAGGCACAATCGCTTTGTAAGGTCCAATCAGTTTGTAGTAGCATAGATGTCTAGAACTTCTACAAACGAGATCTCCCCATACAATACATTGAAGCAGCCAATATTTCATCCTCGATACTGTACTGATAGGCGGAGTATCGTCCGGACGTCTCCGACTACATCCACACATCATATTGTCAACTGTCAAAGATGCTCAGTTCCCCGTGGAAACCGCACGGGCCAATTCTCCGGATAAGCCGAGCCAACATCCACTCGGAAGTTTGACAGCCGGATCACCTTTTGTGTGTCCAACAAATGGTACGATAGCAATTTGTATTGCTTGGCTACCAGTAAACTGCGTCGTCATTCAAATTCTATGGGCTGGTTAGTGGCCGGCTCCTCCGGGCATTCATTTCATTGTACCGAAGGTTTGGTGAGGTGACTGATGTGGCGTTAATAATTTGTGGTTTGCAGATTGTCTGGGGGTGCTTTATGCGGTCTAGATTATCAGAGTTTGTTGTGAGGTTAATGGTACGGATACGATGATGTAGCTTGTCTTTGTCTAGAATGGTATCGCTTGCTCCCTGGTGCTATAGTAACTTTTTATTCTTATTGGACTTTCGAGAAGATAGAAGTGTATTCAGTGGTGGTGAATCACCACTAGTAGTACGGGATATATATTCTATGCAAGCACGGTGACTTGAAATTTTAATCCACAGGCACGTGCCTCATATACTATGGCCATGAAACTGTGGAGATGACTACATCACAGCCAGGACCACATATTAATAAATTGTCCTATTATTTTCACAACCATCTAAGAGATGACGGAACATCGAACACACGACATCCCCAGGGTTCGTAATACAATTGCCATCCAGTTAATATGGGTTTGGACCGTTCTGACTATTGAGCGGGAATGGCACCCGCCTCCCCTTTACAAGATCGGTACCTGGTGCTAGTGATTCGAGCTAGCCGTAACCTGCCTAGCGACTGCTCAAAGGAGCAAGCGCCGTCCGACAATTGGCTGCAGCGCATGTGGGATGTTGCCAAACGAGCCATTCTCGTCAGAATCGGGACACGGATGTACGGCGTGGAAATACGCGCGGATACGAGCGATCATCCAGGGGCAGTTGGATTGTCTCCTCCACATCAGCCATCCTCCCGTGCAGATTTGATTCCTTCTTACTCCGTACAAGGGTTTTTTGCTTAAGATTCCCACGTAAGCCCACAAATTGCAGGGTGTCGGTCACGAAAAATATTATAATTTGACGAGCTATTCTATATTACTAGATTCCTACGATTGACTACAGTATACTCTTGTTTACTTCAAAATCTGTTCTGCGCTGTGGAAAACAAAGACTTTAATCATAATATTTTGCCGATCCTGCACATCGGGGGCTTCCTGCGTCGCCGTACTGTCAGCGTCCGGCGTTCCGGCCAATCCAGAGCGAGTTTGTCTGCCCTCGCCAATAATTCTGCCCCGAAATTAGAGTTGCGTCTCCCCTGGATTCGCTTTCCTCTTCTTTTCCCTCCGCCGTCGCCGCTCTCCTCCTCCTCCTCCTCCTCCCTCCTCTCCTTCCCTACCCCGTTGGAGACCGTTATACCGTCTCAATTGATCAATCAGATCATCCGACATGGCCTCTGTCAACGGGAGCTTCGTCTCCCCCTCGGCTGATGCCGTCGTCTCCCCCAGGCTCTTTGAGCCCACCGGTCTGGTCGCCTCCGTCCTCGAGGGCTTCACCGTTTGGAAGGCCTTGTTGACTCTGTTTGTTGCCGCTGTCATCTACGACCAATGTACGTCTTTTCTCTACGCCAGTTCCTGAGATTCCGGGGAAATCACGTCTCAATTCTAACCGTTCATATAGTCCGTTATCTCTGGCTCAAGGGCTCCATTGTCGGCCCAGCATGGAAGTTGCCTTTCATGGGACCTTTCCTGCAGTCGGTGAACCCCAAGTTCCACGAATACAAGGCCAAATGGGACAGCGGTGAACTGAGCTGTGTCTCCGTCTTCCACAAGTAAGTAATCCTTTGCGACATGTTCCGGGTGTGTCGCGAGGCGCATGGCTGGAAGAGGCCAGATTCTAATTTATCTGCTTACAGGTTCGTTGTTATCGCATCCACTCGCGACATGTCGCGCAAGATCTTCAACTCGCCTACCTACGTCAAGCCTTGTGTTGTGGACGTTGCGCACAAGCTTCTTGGTGCCGACAACTGG